AGGTTGATAATTAAAGTTCATCCAAAGAATAACGGTTTTGAATTCAGGAATCAAAATAGTAAGGAAGTCAACTTGTTAAAATACTAACTTGCTACATTAAGCTATTTACACAGACATAAGATCTTCGCGGCCGTGCATGTACCTCTTCAGCTGAGAGCTTGTGTGAAGGTTTTTCCAATGCTGGACCACTGCTGTTTGAAGTCTTTCCTTTTCCTTGTCCTACAAAAATATCAAATACTGATTTTAGCTTCGACAATGACCAAAACTTTTAATTTAGGTTCAGAGTGACAGTAAGATTTTACATAGTGTTAAGATTTTCAAGTGTAGATTTAAGCTTGTAATTAAGAAGAAAAATGATTACGAGATGGCTCCTAGAAGTATAAGTACATACTCCGCACTTCGATAGACAGTCTTTAATTGGAAGCATTTATCAGGTTTGATTTAGACACTTCGGCTAATGTTATTGATTTACATTTAAGCCAGACATATAAAATAATTGGAATTCGAAGTAGAGGTTTAATTCTGATTTTCTCTTCTCGTTCGACCTACCTAGCGGCCATGTTAATACCCTGGAGTGCCCTTTTCTTCCTTGTTGGCTTGTTCGTCGCCTTAATGGTGGTAGAGAATCATTTCCTTCATCAACAATTGCAGTTGCTTCGCGGGAGTTTCCACGGATCTGCAAGAGGTCATTGTTTTCTTCTGACCGACGCAAGCCAGGATGCTCGATTACTGGCAAGGCAGGCAACTTTTTAGGTAAATCTTGTCTTGGAGAAGCAATCACATCGGCCATGCTTTAGAAAGTTGTATCATTTCCACTGTATAACTAGCATTTGATTAACTTTTAGGCTTCTGATAGAAGCCTGAACAAAGGCTAAAAATGTAACACAAGATCAATTCCATGGTAACCGCTCGTTTAATCATATTCATCAGTGAAGCAAATGAACAATATATTTGCGATGAAGCAGGTCACGCAACAGGAACCAGCAATGAACCAGGTCACGCAGCAAGATCAGAAAGAGGGCCGTTCTACATTTTATATTCGAACGATTGAACGAAAAGTATTCTTCCAATTCGAAAATATCCATTGAGGAGGACGTGAAATACCTTGACACCTCCCCATATGTCGATAATACCATCCATTTTTACTCGACGTAAAATGTAACAGCATACCTTCTTCTGATTTTCACAAATCACGGCAGAACGTGGTTTTGACCCGCTCACCCTTGGACTGAGGATTACCTTGAGTCTAGAGTTTCCCTGAGCCAGTTTAATTAAACATTTGCTCCACGTCTCTATCAGCTATACATCCTCGAGTTGTCCTGAAGTAAATCGCGCGTGAAAGTGTTTTATGCAGACAAGGAGACTGGAACAGAGCTTATCTCCGTGCATTATTTCCCGCATTGTTTAAATTCGCGTTGTTATTATCAAAATCTTCAGTCAGCTTTTGGCTGACCTTATCGAAACATCGAATTCCCCATAGACCTGACAGGTTTTGCCACCCCTCTAATTTGACTGCACAGCTGTGTTTCGAGAAAAGCAAGCGCTCTGTCCGTGATTTTGACCCATGAGTGAATTGTGCTGATGACTTTATTCATCCTAGGTGAGAAGAAACTTCACGGCTTGAAGAAGACTTAAGATCACAAGAATCTTCGAGAGCTGCCAAGAGAGTCAGATCCCACGCAAATGCGAGCTGGCACACACATCACAAGAGTTAAGGATGGATATGGTTGTAAACTACGTTGTTGAATAACTATTGTCAGCAACCAAATAAAAGCATAGTCATTTACCTAACATCTTTACTTCTATTTTTAATTATTTTGGAGTACTAAATACTTTGATCGTTGCAGCGGAAAGTGTTCTGAGCGTGCAATTTGAAAAAAAAAAAAAGCCTCGAGCACATCATTCTACCCATACAAGAGCTCAATAACTCAAATTCAATGCTTTCTGTAACTCTACGACCCACTTCCAACAAAATTAAACAAAATGAACACTATTCTATCAAATGATTATGACTGAAAGTTATATCAGCGATATCAGAATTGGGCAAAATAGGCTATGACAACAAAAATTTTGACCACTATTTTTAACAAACAGGACAATTCCTCAAAGCGTTTTTAAAGGACTGTTTCAACACTTTTACTTTACATAAAACCTCTCCATCGTTTTCCCACAAGTAACTAAAAACTTCCTCTTCATCCTGCGTGCGTACTTCATTCTCAAAAGGTAATCCATCATTAACTGGGGATTAACAGACTTGGATCGGTGGTAGAAATCACTTCGGCGTTCAGGAAGGAATTAAAAAGAAGAGAGAAACTCCACGACTCTGTGTCAAGAGCGATGTCTGACCACAGCCAAGTCTCTCATTGTTTTAGGCCTTAACAGAAGGTCCCTTCATATTATAGGCAGTCGTCTTTCTCACCAGGAAGGCTTTGCTGTGATTTTGTTAAAAATCGTTACATTTTTTTTAAAAATCAAAGTAACCTTTCGTCCTCAACCATTAAAATATATTCTGTGCCTCTTCAGACAACACCACAATTTCATCATCAGAGTCATTCATTTGGACTTCGTTTGATTCACCTGCAACCTGGGCCCTGCCTGATCTGGAGGAAGCCCTATCCAAATCATTCATTCTTGTTTCATTGCGACCTTCAGTACTTTCATTGTCTGAAGGAAGCACATGAATAGATTCGTCAGTGTCACAAGCAGTAAGATTAGAAGTCTGTAAAGGTGAGCTAGCTTTGCCTAGCCCACAGCCATCTAATAAATGTACCATATGTCTACTGTGTGCCATGAGGAAGGGGTCTGTTTTTTCCACGTTTGGAGTCATCATGGCTTCGTTCTTGCCAGTGAGTATGTCTTTCACCTCTGCGGGTACATCAGGATATACAAGCAACTGGAGACAGATTTGCTCAGCTCTTACTAACACTTCTTGGACGTCTATATTGTAAGCCAGATCGTTTATGTACTGTTAAGATAAGGAACAGTCAACAATTTTAACCGACAGTCATGTATACAAAGCAAGCCCTAAGGAATACATTTTGGAATAAAAAGTATGTAGACTCGAGTCACAAATTTCAGGATTAATAAAGAAAGGGCCACACACTCATACCACACATTCAACGGGTGGTTTCGCATTCCCCAATGGCCTTATCGGTATATGAAAGACAATAAATTCCCATATAATAAGATAAATTTGTATCTTTGCCCTTTGCTGTTGATGGCAATTTAGCACAACTTAGCTTCAAATCGAGTTGACAATTTCTTTGCCTAAGTAGTTCGTGTACCTTGAGGATTTCGGTGAATCCAAATCTATTCTCCATAATAATGTGACGGTGTTTATCCAAGATCGCCAAACAAACAATCAGGTGATAATTTGGCGACAATCTCTGTGACCACAACGTCTGAGGAGAAAAATAAACTCTGACTTTAATATTCGGACCGCGATCCGAACTAACAGGAAATATGGCATAAGCTGGGATCAAAGATAGAGAAGAAAAAATGCTGTTAAAGGAGGGAAGCCATTTTGGTCTTCTCCTTGTAATTCTGAAGTCAAGGTAACTAAAGGTAAGTCTTTCAAACCAAGCCTGACCCACAGGATAGGAGAGTTTTGAAGTAGATTGGCTAGCACATTTTTCCTTTAAGAACTCACCTCCCATAATGTCATAATATCTGGAAAGGAGAACTCGCGCTTAAAACAAATAAGAAGCCACCTGAAGCAGAAGTATAAATTACCAGAATCGTGCTCTTCTGTCGACGAAAAAGAGATCACACGGTTTTTAGTGTTAACCTCTGAATAGACTGCAAAGTATCTTACAATGTAATCTTCCAGAGAACAAACTATATCTCGATCTCATTGCACTCCCCGTGCATTTTCTTAAAAGAAAATTCGTTTCTTGTTCCATTCAGAGACATCTGCTTGCTCAGGAGCGCAACTTCTCTAAAGGGCCTTGGAAAGATTACAATCAGACCAAACTTGACCGACCCGATCAGAGCGGCAAATCGCAACAAAGGTTAATTTTCAAGGAACCCATGTAAACTGAAAAACATACGTTTATTAACTGGCCAATAACGTGGGATATGCAGGCAGCCAAATTGTCATTGGTTTTAGCTTTTGATTTAATTGATTAAATAGCTGTTGCAAGGAGAAAAATCAAATACTAGGATCAAACTGACGTAAAGCCAATGTAATCCCAGGTTTCCGGTCACACTGAACTGAAAACTTCCCTGACAACGTGCTTGATTTTAAGGGTAAAGTATCAAAGGTGGGGTGGCCGAAAAGGAATGTTGCGCCTGGGAAAGCAGGTGTTGGTCGGAAAAAGAAAAGAATAAAAACTGAGCGAGACCTTGAGTGTCAACGAACTTTGTACTGCTAACCCAAGAATTTAGTCGTAGTAAAAAGACTGCATGTTTTCTGCAATACCATCGATGATATACGAGGTATATGGTCATGCATTCGAATCAGCTGCAACAAAAATTGACAGGGAAACAAAAACACCGTAAGAGTGAATTACCAAGATACTTGTAGAAATGAGGATCAACGAACTTGAGTAGCACAGCCAGCTGATGAAGTTGTGCTTTCATTCCTTCTTGGTTCTCTTCAAAATTATGAGCCTATAAAGAAGTTGCAAACACAAGAAGTCAAAAATTTATATTGAAATGATCAGGGCTGTGCTTTAACCATAAAATGTCATTTGCGAAAGCTATCCTTAGAGGGAAAAACTCCTTCGGAGCTTAGTTGAATAACATCTTACGATGAAAAAAAAAAATTTAGTAAATTAATGTTCATTTCACTTTAAAATTTTGGACCGTAACACTTAAAACGTTATTGCTTATTACATTTGTAATGGATCGCCGAAAACTGGTCACGGAGTTGGCGACTTTGAATGAAACTTTAGTCACCAATATTGTTTTACTTGGTGACCCCAAAGATCAGTTGCTAAGAGATTTTCTATTACTACTGGACAACTTTGATTCATCAAGGTCCAGAGCTACTTAAAAACTATTCCCTTATTTTGTGCATTCATTGACAAAGGTCCTGTACATTCAAAGATCACTTCCATGTGATATGCTCTCATCTGTGATTCTTAAACGTACTGGATCAGTCAAAAGTAAAAATTTTTGTTTTGGACATTTTCCATGTGTTCTACTTCTTGAAGAAATCGAACGGTTTTCATTTTTTATGACTACAGTCCCATTTGTTTTTTATCACGAAAAATTTTGTTTCTGTTTCTTCACATGTCAAGATAAGATTAGTATTTGGCATTGTTTCTGTTTCATTTTTCATAGTCACCAAAACACCCTATGTCGTCGTTATGTCGACCGGCACAGTCGTAACTTGGAGCGCTGGGCCACAAGGATTAGCACCTACCACTTTTTCCATGAAGCCCACGAAACACCAAAAAGCTTCAACTTCATCTTCCATCAGAAATAATATTGGAGAAAGAAGGTCACTCATGCCTTGTACGTAACCTGGAAAGTAAAAGATGCATTCAAGGCTTAGTAAAGAAATTTCCCCATCTTCAGATTTTGGAACAGGCAACAAAAATCTCTGCTACTTCCTGTTCTTTACTTCCTAGCACATAAAAATAGCGAGCCGTTTGCAGTAGAAACAATCCAAAGAGGTGACCACAAAGGTTGGGGAGAATAGATTCCCATTTATTCATTAAATTAAAACAACTTATTTCTTCTGCAGATACACAGTTTTTGTCATGCATTTCTTTTGAAGAACTTCGTCATGTTCTTTGGAAAAGGGAGAGACTTTCAAACAATAGAGAAGATACATATATAACGTTACGAGCTGGTGAAATGTTGAACTTACCAAGATCAAAGTTGTACATGCAGTAAGTGAGAAGAATGTCATAGAGTTTCTTCACATTGGAATGGTTGGCCTCAGAGTAGAAGCAATGTGTTCTGTCTGTCCGTGAAACATCCTTATCTGTAAACGAACTAACAAGCTGTAATAATCTTTCCCTTTTATGACTTAACAGCCCTAGACTGATTTCATTCCCTACTGAATCCAGAGGAGGACCTTATGGTGAAGCAACACATCCCAAATAGTAATAGCTACACATATTCACAGGACAGCTGACGCATTCCAGAACTCTCACCAAGAGCTTTAAAACAATTTAAAACCTCTCATTGCTAGTCCAGGCGCCCTATAGGAGACTCATTTATGTATGTTACATGTAGGTTTTAATACAAAACAAAACCAACAATCTGAAAAGCCTGGCTTTTTATGTCAGTCAGGTAAATGTCTGAAACAGAGAACTCTCTTCAATTGACAACATACTCATTTTTAGTACATGCACTAGGACAGAATGAGGATTACAAGATGTTTGCTTCATCAGTGTCCTTCTGTAGCAAGTAAATGCTTGCAACATGAACTAAAAAATTTAGATGTTGAAGGGTTCCCATTACATTTTGTACTTCCTTACCTACGAGATGCTTTCTTTCTCTAAATTCAGAAAAGTTATTTTCTTGTGTTTTGGTCATGGACTGCCACTGCCACTTCATAGTTTTATATTCTTCCCTTGAGAACAACAAAAAGCAAAAAACAATGAAATTGGCCCAAAGAAGGTAGGAAAATAGTGGGAAAATTTGTTGGTATTTAGCCACCAGATACCAAACTCAATTTGGTTGTTCTGAAGCTACGTACACATGTCCAAGTTGAAGATTGGCTGCAT